TGTAGGGCATATTTCAATAATCCAAATGCAAAATGAAAATGCCAGGTTTACAATTTACAGAACTTAGAATAGGAACATTTGTATGAAACTTAAAGTGCTTTATTACAGCTTACAAATTATAGACCGCACAATTTTTGTACAGATTACATCCTGATACCAGTACAGTGAGTAACTCTTTATTATGGACTGAAAAAAATAAGTACAAATACAAACACATGTCAAAAGTAGAGAACCAAATAACACACATGTTCATTACATATATAACAGTATATCTCATAATGGAAGATAGCAACAGAAGTGAGAGACGTGGATATCTAAAATGCTATCTGGTTGCTATTTCAAATGTCACATTTATTTAACATTAACATTGGTCAAACCTATGAGTCAATATTTGTATAACAGATATTGCCATGCCAAAATGTTGCCATGCTGAGAATAATAGCTTGATATCTGCCAAAAATAAGGCAGTATAAAATTTACCTGTGCTATTGATTAAAAAGAAGGCAATAAAGACACAGTGGATGTCACAACAGAATGTCACACGAGACACCACATACTTTTCTGACTCCTCTTACTCACTTCTTCCAGGTGGACAAAATCTTCCACATACATGTAGTCCTCACCTATCATTCAACATTGCAAAAGTGTTGACCAGTACTTATGACTGGTCCTCCAAGTTCCAGCCATTGCAGTGCTCCCATGGTCACATGATCATGATTCAGAAGTTTGGCAACTGGCTCGCACTTGCTACAGTTGTAGCATTCGATGGTCACATAATTGTAATTTGCAACCTTCCCTTGGCCTCTGCACTTGCACAGACCCATCCTCATTTTCTCTCAGCTTAGTCTTCTTATACTGATCTGCAACTTCCTTCCCTCACCCTTCCTGTGCTTGCATTAACCCATGTCCTCCTCTTGATATCCCTGTGTTTGCATAGCACTGCAGAACCCGTCCCACCAACTCATATACTGTCTGTGCCAGGCATCCAAGGGCCTTCCCTAGCATCCTTTCCTGGAACTGCCATTGCTTCCTGTTGAAAAATATCTCTTGAAGTTACACCAGCAACTGGATCTGCCTGGAGTGCTGTTGCTAAGCAATGCAATGATATGACCGCATCATTTAGCAATTGCAATTCCAGTCCCAATTGCTGTCATTAAATCTAAGGAGAACACGGTAAGAAATGTGAATGCTCTACATTATTTTATAGTTTTTCTCAGGTAATTGATGGGCTTGAAAAGATTGTGAAACCTTTACAAACAGTTCATGTTCAGAATGAGCTCAAACACAATTGTTATTCATTCATATTACTTGATTTTAAAAAAATTGGGGAAAGCCATAATACTTAATTTTCTCCTTTAAAAGCTTGTGAACAATGAATGTTAATTATTAACTTTTCTGTTAAAGCAAAAATATAGGTGATCAATCCTGTTGCAGAAGCCTCTGGCCACAAATCTAACAAACAAAAATAAAATAAAAAAACAAAGGCTAGCTCTGACCTCAGTCTTAATTATATCTCTGTTCATGTATTGTGCTGTATTAGGTTTACATTACATTACACACTAGGAGTATGTTCAAAATAGAAAATGTGTTTTGAAGCTGAAACAAACCATTGATTCCACAAAGTTCTCTTGAAACATTTTAGATGTAGGTCAGTAAAAAATTCAGATAAGACAACATTTGAAGATGCTTTAGGGCAGTGATAGGAAGCATATGTATGGATATCAAAGGTGACATGCTATGACATTCTGTGTTACATGCTAGCATTTATGCCAGCATTCATCAACAGCCAATTCTGGAAAACACATCCTATTCTTGCGTGATTTTTGAAGACTGCAGAGGTCATATGAGAATAGGGTGTGCAGCCTCCAGACCCGCTGAAGCTTTCCATGAGATCATGTTCTTGCATATCTTTCAGAATCTCTGAAAATTGTATGAGCACAGGTATGCCTTCATAAAATTTTTGGAGGCTCCAGAAGCTTCATGAGAATAGGGTACACTCTTGTGTGACTTCTGGAGCCTCCAAAAAATGCACAACAACAGGGAGGTTGCAGAGGCTGGAAAAGAGCATTCCTCAAAACCACTTCAAGAACAAAGGTCTTGTACAATTTGCAGCTGTATATAAAGACCTGTTAATAGAAAAAGAATACAACATGAAAGTAAGTGGTGCCTATGTTTGGATATATAAAAATCTTTGAAACTAAAATTCAAATTTACAAACAAGATATAGGGACAAAAACGTACAAGTATTTTCCTTGATTAAAAAAGTATTTTGAGGTCAGATTGAATGTGCAAAGTGAAATGGAAACCTTGCATATAAACTACCAGCACATTTTTAACTCAATAACTGATCAATTTGGTAGAAGATTTGATCAGTTCAGACATTTACAACCGTCTATTAAAATAATCCAAGAATCCAGATGTAGTCATATAGAACTCTCTGACAAACCGAGGAACAAAAAGGACAAGTGTAAACAATGGAAAGCACATAACTAAAGCAGAATGCCAGCAAATAATCCAAAATCTACAAAGATGAAGTCAAAGGAAAGCTAAGGTTCAGAATGAGCTAAGACTTACAACACATGCCAGAAATAAAGAAAGGTTTTTTTTAACCATGTAACGAATAAGAAGAAAGTCAAAGAAATGATTAATCAACTAATGGGAGAAGATAGTATGGAGATGACAGGCAGCAGGAAAAAAATGAACTGCTTAGTTCCCTTTTTTGTACCTATCTTCATGCAAAAGGAAAAATTAATAGTCCAATCCATCAAAAGCAATTTTGTGGGGAACAGAACAGGAATGCAGGTCAAAATAGGCAAGAAATTGGTAAGAGAACACCTATCTACTCTAGACCAGGCCCAGATGGTTCCTGAATCTGATTCCATGATTCAGAAAGACCAGCCAGATGTGATCTCAGAACCACTTAACCAAATCTTTCAGACTCCTGGAGCACAGGGGAACTACCAGAGGATTGGAAAAGAGCTGACATTGTTTCAGTCTTCAAAAAGGTGGATCCAGGAAACTACATCCCAAACAACCTGACATCAATACCTGGGAAAATCCTGGAAGCAATAATCAACCAGCAGATTCATGAGCACCTAAAAATGAATCAGGCAATTACTAGAAGACAGCATGGGTATGCTAAAAACAAACCTTACTGCATTCTTTGACAAAGTGTCTAAATTAATGAATCAGGGAAATGCAATGGATATAATATACCTGGATTTTAGTAAGACATTTGACAAAATAGATCACAGGCTACTTCTTTGTAAGGTGGAATAATGTGGGATAGACATCAATTGGATTTACAGTTGCCTAACCAAGTGCACCCAGCATGTAATCCTCAATGGAGCTGCATCTACATAGAGAAAGGCATATATTGGGGTACTTCAGGGCTCTGTCTTGGGCCCAGTGCTCTTTAACTTCTTTATAAATAACCCAGATGAGGTGATAAAAGAGGAGCTCATCAAATTTACACATAATATAAAGTTTGGATGGAATTGCAAACACTTTGGAAGATAGATTCAAGATTCAGAAGGATCTTGACAAACTTGACCCTGTCCAGTAAGATGCAGTTCAGTGATAAGAAAAAAGTTTATACATCGTGTAAGGTCCTACCACTTAGGTGGGAAAAAAACAAATGCATATGTATAGCATAGGCAGTACCTGGCTTAACTATAGTAATTGAATGGAATCTCAGTGTCATACATTTAAGTATGAGCCAGTAGTATGCTGGATTTGCCTCCCCGCCACTCCTAATGCTGCGTCAAGAGAAGGTCATGAATTAAGATCACAAGAAATGATAGTACCACTTTATATTTGAGCATTGGGTCCTATCCAACAAAATGCAGTTCAGTGGTGAGAAAAAGTTGTACTGTTGGACTAGAAGACTTCCAAGGTCTCTTCCAGCCCAATGATTCTGCGATTGTTCAATTGTCAAATATGTATACAAAGTACTAACAAATGCAGAGTTCAATCAGCTCAGCTCAAAGTCTAGTAGAAAGAAAAAAGGGAAGTCAGCCTGTAACAATACCATTCTTGACAATGGGAGACTTTTTCAAAACATTCAAAGCTAAGAAATGTACTCTGATACCTATTGTTGCCCAAATTTCCAGAAATAAAATAATATGAAACTGAAATATATTCCAACTTGCAGTGTTCCATGGAAATATTTGGTACAATGCTTTGAGTTGCCTATTGTAAGGTCAAGCTGAGGGATCAAAAATTAATGTTCCTCTAGTGAAACAACAAAGTTATTTCAAACAAATTAACACGTGTAAAAGCCCAAAATCAGGGCTGGTCATTATAATTAAGTAATTTCCTTATTGTTATTTGGTGTGCAACCCTTAAAGATTGCAAATCAATAACAATAAGGATTCCGCCTTCTGAATATTTTTGTGTAACAACTTCAAAATGATATTTTAGCAAGTCAATATTTTACTTACTGCTGCAAATTAAAAAGGCACTGTTTCTGTTCATAATATAAAGGAAGTGAGGGTCTTCCAAATAATATTTGAGAAGTAATTACTACTTATACTGGAACAACTGACAAGAATGCAGAAATAGAAGACAATTCATTGTATCTATTATTCCAACAGAGTACTATATGATTTTACTTTTCTAGATTTTCTAGTTCCAGCTCAAATTGGGGTTCCAAGACCACATTGTTTTTCAGTATTCAGATAGAATTTAATATGCCCAGTATGCTTTATGTTTTCTTATCTGAGTTTGTAGAAATCATATTGACAGAGCACATTTTGTTTTAATTTTTAACTTCTTCCTATCCTCAGGGATGGGGATAAGCTAATGAATCAAGAACTGATATGCAAAGTAGAAAAAAAATACTATAACAGATAATTCAATAAAACTTAAATAAATAGGGAGAGAGCAGGTCCAATATATCATTTAAATAACTGCTAATTTAATGTTGTTTAGTTGCAAATACAGATATATTTCAAGAGGAAAGTTCTTTGAATGGTTTCTATTTCCTTTATCACATGTAGGTATGGTAAACCTGGATGCACTGCAGATTCATGCGACTATTTTCTCAGTTACCGCAGAATAGGAGCTGACATAGAGTTCGAATTGAGCGCTGAAGCTGATGGCTGGGTAGCTGTAGGATTTTCCTCAGATAAGAAAATGGTAAGAATGCTTTCTTTGCTCATATAATTACTGCTTTTTCTTGGAGAAAAGGTATTAAAATTATTATTTGAATAAAAATAATGACAAAATGTAACGATATATTTAGCATTGTGCACAATTCTAATGATGGGGCAGAATGACCAAAATGTGATAACCAATTAAGGGTGATAAACAATTTTAAGCAAATCTTTTTCCTTCTTTCTCTATTAATCAATAAACTTGTTCTTTATTATTTTTGGCCATGGCAAATTTGGTTCTAAACCTAAGTTTGAATTTTTATGTTTGATATTCTATATTTGAATTTTTTAATGAAAACCATATCTGATCAGAGGGATTTTTACTGTTTTTCTTTCAATTCCTTGTTATTTTAACAATCACACGTGAAAAACTTACAGTATACTTCCTTTCTAGGTATCTGAATATTCCTAGGTCTTCCTCCCTCCCTCCCTCCCCCCTCCCTCCCTCCCTCCTTCCTTCCTTCCTTCCTTCCTCCCATTTCTATAGCTGCCAATCTCAGTAAATGACTCTGGTTAGCTTACAATTCAGAACATATATTACAATATTTTTTAAAAAGTTAAACAGTAAGAAAAACATTAAAACCAGTAACAACACTTAAAACATACTATTCAAGATGCATATAAACAAAATATTTGGTTTGCTATCAATATAGTCAGGAAACTGGGCCCTAGGCACATTCAGCACTCCAGTTCAGGAAGATACCCAGGTTTTTAAGGCCTTACAAAAGGCTAACAGGGTTGATGCTATTCTAATGTCTGAAAGGAGGATATTCCATAGAGCAGTGGTTGCCAATCAGTTATCCACGGCCCACTGGTGGTCCATGAGAAAATTTTGGTGGTCCACAGAGAAATGTCACCCCCAGAGCACCCCCCAAAGCAATTAATCCAGGCTGCGCAGAAACACAAGGCTGCGCCACCCACATGGCCCACAGAAACCCGCCCCGCCCATCCACTCCTTACCCGGCAAAACTTGCCTGCTAAATTGCTATTTTTCCTTCCCCGCCCCCCGATCATCAGCTGTTCTGCTGTGCCAGGAGATTTAGATTAGCTAGGAAGCAGGAAATGATTGGATTTCTTGCTTTCTAGCTAGTCTTTAAATCTTCAGCTCTGCTTTTAAGCAGAGCCAAACCTTCCTTAGGACTGAAGGTTCTGTTATTCAGTGCAGACTCATGGCAGAATCATTGATCTCTAAGTGAATCTGTGATTCTGTGAGCAACTTAATCTGCCTGCCTGCCTTGCCTGTTTCTCTTTTTTTAATGAAAAATTCAATGTTTACATACATGATGTGTTGTGAGTTAACTTTGTGAGTTTGCTTGCAAGCAAATTTTATGTGACACACACAGATAGTCAATGGCAGAAAGATAGATCTCTGAATCTGTGATTCTGTGAGCAACTCTATCTGCCTGCCTGCTTTGCCTGATTTTGGGTAAAAGTGGCTTTTTTAAAATAAAAAAATTCAATATTTACATAAATATTTATAATATTTACATACAAGCCATGACCACCCAGTCACATGACCACCAAGCCACACCCACAAATTAGGCCATGCCCAAGAACCGGTTGTTAAGAAATTTGAATCCCACCCCTGCCTCTGTGTGTCTGTGTGTGAGGGGGAGGGAGAGGGAGAGAGAGAGGTTAGATCAGATCTCTCTCTCTCTCTCTTTCTCTCTTTCTCTCTCCCGCACCAACCTCAGCAAGCCACCCTAAGTCAAAATTCATATTACTGGTCCACGGGATTTAAAATTATGAGTTTGGTGGTCCCTGAGGTCCAAAAGGTTGGCGACCCCTGCCATAGAGCAGGAGCCACTGCAGAAAAAGCCTGCCTTCTTCTGCAATGGCTTGTGCCTGCTTACGGACTTTCTTTGGTTGCTAGGATCTGCAGCATGCCCATTCTGTTTGACCTAGTAGTGTGGGTAGACACTGTTAAAAAAAGGCAATCCCTCAAGTACCCTGGTTCCAAGCCATGTAGGGCTTTATAGGTAATCTTGAATTGCACCCAGAAACAGACTGGTAGCCAGTGCTGTTCAGGCAGGAGTGGTGTTACATGTGCTGTATATTTATTATCCATGCAGCTGCATTCTGTACCACTTGAAGTTTTGGTCTTCAAGGGCAACCCCATGTAGAATGTGTTAGAGTAGTTTAACCTAGAGATTATAATATGTGAGTTACTGTGAGCAGGGTCTCTCAGTCGAGGTATAGAAGCAAATATGCTCCACCTGAAGGTGTGCAAAGGCCCTCCAAGCTACATCTGCCACTTTTCGAGCAGGAGCAGGAGGACCCCTGCAAGACTGTGCACTGGGTCTGTTTGGGGCAGTGCAACCCCATCCAGAACAGAGATGGAAGAACCTTGTCTCCAAGAGTCCAAATACTACAACCACTCTGTCTTGCTAGAAACAGAAATGTTCACTCCATCTATTTCCCAACAGCCCTCAGATACTGAGGTAGATATCTATGGCATCACTCAAGGGTATGGAGTAGAGATAAAAAGCTGGGTGTCATCTACATACTGCATAGTGGTGATAACTTACCCCAAACAATGAAACCACCTCCTCACCCAACAGCCTCATGTAAATATTAAATAGAAGAGGAGAGAGAACGGAATACTGAGTCATCCCAAAAAGTAGGGACTTCAAGCTAGATCTCTCTCCCTCTATTAACACTAACTAGAATTGGCCATGGAGGAAGGAGGAGAACCAGCAGAATACAGTGCCATTCATCCCTATTCCTGGAGCTGGCTCAGAAGGATATCATATTCGATAGTATTGAATGCCTCTGAGAGGTCAAGGAGAACTAGGGTGGATACATTAACCTCCCTCCTGCTTCCACTAGAGCTCATTCATTTGTGCTGTCTAAGTCCCAAACCCTGGACTAAACTTGACCTAAAGGGTTCTAAATAATCTACTTCATCCAGAGTTCTCTAAAGCTGCCATGTAACCACTATCTTCATCATCTTCCCTAGAAAGGAGAGGTTGGAAACTGGACAAATCTGTACTGGCTAGCTGGGTCATGCAATGATCCTTTTAAGCAGATTTTCTAAGAGTTTTCCCAGACCCATTCAAGTGTCCCCTCCCACGATGCCTTAACTGGCCAGGAGGGATAAGAATCTAACACACAAATTTTGTGCCCTCTATCCCACTAATTAAGAAAATAAGTTGTGCCTATCAGTAGCAATTTGATTTGATCCTATTTTGGTTACTGTATACGTTGTTAGATATATGAAAGCCATAAAGAACAGGGCTTGACATTCTAGAAAAAAAGAAGAAACGAGTGGGTTTAATATCATAAGATGGAATTTTAACCTAGGTTTATCTGTCAGTTCTTAGAAGTAGTTCAGACAAGAAGCACCAGTCATGGGTACTGGCGTTATCTTTATTTGTAAGGTTACAAATAGGTAATCCTCATTCAGTGATCATTCAGCAACCATTCAGTTATTATGACATCAGAAAAATGGCAATTATGATTGGTTCTCAAAATTATAGTATCCTACTTTATATTATCAAAATTCAGGCAGCTTATCCCTATTTTCAACCACAACATGCACTTTAATTTCTCCCATCTGCCTATCTCCTCCCACCTCGGCCCTTCTGGCTGCCTTGCATCCTGCTACCATCTATCCCTGCCATCTATCCTTTTCTGTCTTCTTGCTCCCACTGGTGACAAGGCATGTCCAGCTGAGGCAGCTGTTGACCCTTTGTCAAGCTTTTGCAAGGCCTTCACGATGCTCATCCTCATGCCTTTTGGCTGTCCTGCACTCCACTGCCAACAGCATCAACAGCTACCTCTGTTTCCCCCATTGCTCTCAACTGAACTTTGCCATCTTCTTCCTCCTTGAAAGGGCCAACAGCTGCTTTGCCTGGATGCATCCCTGCAGCAGCACGAGGTGCAAGACAGTCAGGATCAGCTGAGGGCAGCAGAGGGAGGCAATTCCATAGTCAGGGCAGTCAAAAGACAGAGATTGCAGAGAAAGTAGGTTGCTGGGAGGACTTGAATGAAGGTGAGTGCAGCAGGCCAAAAGAAGCATGATATTCTCTCAGAGCATCATAATATCTCAGCAATTTGACCCTTATCTCATTCCCCAACATTGAGATCACTTATGCCAAGATTACCTAACTTCATACTTCAGTAGAAATCTTCAAGTGAAATTCTGAGTTCATTTTTCAATTAGGGTGGAGATGATGTTATGGCCTGTGTTCATGATGATAATGGAAGAGTCAGAATACATCACTTCTACAATGTTGGTCAGTGGGCAAAAGAGATTCAAAGAAACCCCGCCAGAGATGAAGAAGGTATTTTTGAAAATAACCGTGTCACATGTCGATTTAAGCGCCCAGTGAAGGTTCCCAGGGATGAAACTATCGTAGATCTCCACCTAAGTTGGTACTATTTATTTGCTTGGGGACCAGCAATTCAGGGTAAGTTCATTTTTTGTTTGGTTGGTTATCCTCCTCCTAGAGAAAATCTCTGTGTTTTCTTTAAATGTCAAAAATAATTGATAGCAATAGCACTTAGACTTATATACCACTTCACAGTGCTTTCTAGCCCTCTCTCAGAGTCAGCCTATTGCCTCCAACAATCTGGGTCCTCATTTTACCAACCTCAGAAGGATGGAAGGCTGAATCAACCTTGAATCTCTCAGACTCAAACTCCTGAAGTGACCACTGAGTTAGCCTGCAGCATTAAATTCTACCCACTGTGCCACTATGGCTCTTAACTGATGGCATTTAATCAATCAATCAAATCAATTGAATTATTCTTAATTTATTGTATTATTACAAAACACACAGTAGAGACTAAATTAAAACTACACGATGGGTTTGCATGGTTAAAGTTTGGCATGATTATATACTTGTATGAGAGGGAAATGCCTGCATAAGGTTGCTAATATATAGTCATAGTAAAATAACCCAAAAAATTTTGATCTAAGGCTGGATATACAAATTATACCAAGCTAAAGTGTAACTTTTTTGGTTTTGATATACAATTACCTTATCATCTTATCTTATAGTGCTATACTACAAACTAAAATATAATGTAATATAACATAATATAATATTACAATACAGCACAATAAAATATTATATGAATAATCAAATCAATAACTAATAGTTGGATAGAGGCTAATTTAGCATTGATTCCAAAAGACAACCATAATAAAACCCACATTAATCTTCATGAATAAAGTCTTCTAAAATTACTTTCATCCTAATCAGAAAAATAATTGGAAATATCCTATAGTTATTAATGGTACTGAATAATAATTTTTAGTGAAGTCATGCCTTGGTCATCTTTTGGAATCAATGCTATATTAGGCTCTATCCAATTATCTGGTATTGTTTCATTCATTCGCCTTCAAATATTTAAAATATTTCCATCTGATTGGAATCAGTCTATATATATATGCACAATTATACAAAAGTAAACTAAATATTCGCAACCCTATAAATTAAAGGCCTATTAATTCATTAACCATAGTAAATAAACTTTATGACAGACATTTATATTTAAAATTAGTAGATTAGGTAAAAATGCAAATATTATTGCTGAAGAACAGGCTGAATTTAGAGGGAAACAATCAGTGGTGGGCCATTGTTTAGTTCTCTATCATTTGACAGGAAAATATTGTGTCCCCTTTTACAACTTTTGTTGATTCTAAGTCACATTTTACCTAATACCAAGGAAGACACTGTGAGACCATCTGAACCTTTCCATTATTGATAAAAAAACTGCTCCTAATTATTCAGTCACTTTATTCAAATAACTCTCTGAGAATTAGATGTAACCCTTGGGAAAATTTATCTAAAACAGTTCCAAACTATAAAGGTGTAAGACAAGATTTCATGTCATCTTCATTGCTTTCTAATCTCTATTTAAATCCAAGTGCTTGCTGTTTCAATCCTTCACCCATCTATTTTAGCTGATTGTGCAATTCCAACATTACTCTATATCAACAATGTAATTAGGTTCACAGGGGAACATGAGAAAAGCATTTATTCTGTGCAGAACAAAAGCTACCAATATACTATCAGAAAATTAAAGTTTTGGTGTTTCTACTGCACAAAAGAAGCCCATTATATCCCTGCAGCTTGCACAGTTTCCAAACTAAGGTAGTTCCTCAGCTTCTTTAGCTTTTTTTTAAACAAAGCTTAACATTTATTTGTTTGTTTGTTTATTTAATTAAAATAAATTTATTCAAAACATATTGATGGTTCCAAAAGTATCTGAAATGTCATTTTATGTGTAGAAACAAGTACAGTTTCATTGGATGCTAGAGTTTTTTTCTTGTTATCTTCTGTCTAAAACTAATCCTCCTTTTTTAAAAAAAATAATTTTCTGTTAGGAAATGTGATTTCTGTTTAATGTTACTTTTGTCAGACAAGGATTCAAAAGTATATTCCCCAATTTCCTAGTTTTGTGTTTTGTTGCACCATAATGCTGCGCCATTAATTACATTTGGAACTTTTTATAATACAACGGGAATACTACTGGGAAATTTTGGGTCTATGAGATCAAGCTAAGTCCAAAAATGCTAGACAATACTCAGAAGCCAGGCATTTAGCCATCAACAGGCACATAAAGATAAACAATATCTACATGTCATTCAAGAGACAATGAAAAACTGAAAGACTAAAGCATTTTCCCCCAACAATCAACACCCAGATAAGTAGAGGCTAATATCAAGTTTGACACAAAAGTAACCATCAAGAAGTTAACTATACCCTAAACAAGAAAATACCAATTCAATCGAACTATAAATAGGAGTCATCAAAAGTACTCCCACAAATACTGACAGAGCAAATGCCAGAGAGTAAATCCCACTGTCTTCTAGAATTAATGAGAATACCTAGTTGGGTAGTAAAATGTGTGAAAGAAAACAACCAAACTTAGAATGCAGCAAGAACCCCACAGTTCAACTATAAATATTCTCCTCTGTCAGATCTGGCCCAAACCTGGTCCCTCAGGAAAAAAAATCACTCTCAACTTCATATGTAGCAAAAGAAGATTATTTTTACTAAAAGCCTAAAACGTTGGCACAACTATACCCATATTTTGCTTGCAGTTTCCCAGTTCTGATTCCCTCCCCAACGTCCCCTCTCCCCATAACTTATGGCAGATTGGCATTTAAATGAAGCATAGAAGTGCATAGAAGTGAGCTAAAGATGGCAGTTCTGACATTTTGCCCCCCTTGATAAGAGCTAAACCTGGAGGGGAGAAAAGAGAAAATGGAAAGAAAAATTAGGAATTATTTAGGCTTGTAAGGGTCGGTTGTGGAAGGGATTTGACATGGGACCCATTCAGATTCAGAAGCAGGGAAATGCTCCCACAGAACTAGATATTGGAGATGGCTTCTGTGGAGACACAAGTCTAAAATATCTTTAATTTCAAAGTGTTGATCCCCTTCAATCAGGACGGGAGGTAGTGGTGGTTTTGTAGTAGGGTGCACAGTGATTTGTGTCTGATTTTAGAAGGCTGCAGTGGAACACTGGGTGAACTTGTTGGATGGTCTTAGGTAGTTTTATTTTTATAATTACAGAGTTGATGATCCTGACAATGGGAAATGGACCAACATGCTGGAAACCCCATTTTTATTTCAAAGGTTGTCTGGACTGCAAGTACTTTGCAGAGAGGAAAACTTCATTTCCTACTTGAAATCCAGCTTGTGTTTGCCTTTTTTTGTGGCTTTCCCTGGATTCTCCAGCACTTTGCAAATGATAGTATTTTGTAGGGATAGTATCCAGTCAGCGATGGGGGGAGGATCTGCTGTGGGAGCTCTGGCATAGCCATGAAATCTTGCCCCGTTGCTACATGGAATGGTGCGAATATATAATGCAGAGTGCATGGCATTATAGGCCACCGCCACAAAAGGGAGGATGTTGCACCAATAGTCTTGTTGTTAATTGATATAGTAACGGAGGCATTGTTCCATGATACCATTCATATGTTCACAGCCTCCATTTTGGCCAGATGGTGCAAGTTGCCAAGCTTTTGGGATGTTCCCAATTATGTTAAGAATTCACACCAAAAGCAGGATGTAAATAATTTGCCTCTGTCAGAGATGATCATCTCTGGGGCACCATGGAGCTAGCAGACATGTTGCACACAGAGTTTAACTAAGGTTTGTGCCAAGGGAATTTTCTGACATGGCAATAAATATATTTGCTTGGAAAAATGGTCATGACCAGCATATGATGGTGTTGCCTGAATTGTTGGGTAATTCTACAATAACATCCATGGTGGTTTGCTCCCAGGGGGCAGTAGGTTAGTCACCTGTTGTAAGAGACCATGGTGTTTTTGGGTTGCAGTGCACACAGCACAGCTGGCCATATATCTTTCTATATCCTTTTTCATGCTTGGCCACCAAAATTAACACCTTACTAAATGTAGGGTTTTCAATCAATCAGAATAGAGCTGGAAGGGACCTTAGAGGTCTTCTAGTCGAACCCCCTGCTCAAGCAGAAGACCCAATACCATTTCAGATAGGTGGTGGTCCAGTCTTTTCTTAAAAATTCCCAGTGATGAAGCACCTACAGCTTCTGAAGGCAAGCTGTTAGGAAGTTTCTCCTTAATTCCAAGTTGCTTCTCTCCTTGATTAGTTTCCATCCATTGTTTCTTTTCTTGCCTTCTGGCGCTTTGTGGCCTTCAAATACGGAATTCTGCTATCATGAAACTCCTAGTCCTTCTTTTCTCTTCCCAATTCCAGCAACTTTTCTTCATACGTTTTTTTGTCTCCAGGCCCTTAATTATCTTAGTTGCTCTTCTTTTCACTTTTTCCCAAAGTGTCAACATCTTTTTGTAAAGTGGTGATTAAAACAGGATGCAGTATTCCAGGTGTGGTCTTACTATGGATTTATAAAACTGTACTAATACTTCATGTGATTTTGATTCTGTGCCTCTGTTTATATAACCAAGGGTTGTATTAGCTTTTTCAGTTGCTGCCACATACCGCTGGCTCATGTTTAAGTGATCATCCACTAGGACCAGTGGTGAAATGTTACTGGTTCAGCCCGGTTCATCTGAACCGGTCGTAAAAAAGTTCCGATGATCAGCTGAGAGGAGAAAGAAGAGAAAAGCGCAGGACTAGCCCTCCCACCTACCCCTGTGCTTTTCTGTTCTTTATCTCTCAGCTGATTGATGTGGCAGAGCCTCAGCTGGTGTTTGGAAAGCTGCGCACACGCGAAGTGTGTGATCACTGAACCGGTAGGGAAACTGGTAGAATCCCACCACTATCTAGGATTTCAAGGTCCCATTCACAATTACTGTTTTTAAGCCAGATTTCACCTAATCTGTACTTGTATCTTTGGTTTTCCTGCCTAGGTGTAAAATCATGTTTTTCTTCACATTAAATTTTAAGTTAATGGATAGGGTCTGTCAAGATCTTTTTGGATCCCGAGTTTGTCTTCTGGGGTGTTGGCTA